TCATATGACCCGAATAATATTATGTTTTATCCTTACAATAAAAAAAATATTAATGGGTCACCCGGCCAGACTGGGCACCCCCATATATATATAGTAATCTCTTCGGTGCTTCTCTTTCGGTTTTTCCATCATCGATTTTATGATCTGACTTACGTACACAAATCATTAAAACAGCTCTAAATGAACGTTTTAAAAATCAATTTACGATTGATCAAATTCGAATATTAACAAATCTGATTCCTATGAACATGTCTTTTGTTCGTGATATTTTTCTGATGGAAGATTTAGCTTATCACAATCTTACAGTATACATAAATCATCCCACCATCGATATCTTACATGATTTATTGCTTCTGCCATTCACCATCACATGTATCTATTGTCAACAAACTCTAACAATTTATGATACTAAAATGATCCATATTATTGATTATTCAAAAATTATGCGAGCATTGAGTGTTATGATGGAATATAAATTATGTAACCTTATATATGAACATTCATCATTTAATTCATTGAAAAATCGTCGCCGATATATTACTGACAATTCTATAAACGGTCCGGAAAAATTTTTTACCTGTACGATTTATTAGGATTTACTACATCAGTTCTATACGATTACACATGTCAGCTGATGAATACTCAATCTTCGTTTAATGCATGTATTCGCAGAGTATTAGATCGTATTATGTATGAGCAATCTGGCATTAGTCTTTGCTTAGGACCTATCCATTGAACAAAAGTTTTTCAGTCATACTAGTTTTTATATAATATTATTTGTTTTGAATTTATGCTTGGTAAAGGCACAATAGTTGCTATACCTCATTCATTGAATCGTTCAAAACTGTAGCACCAATTTTAAAAGTCTTCTGAATAATGGTATTACCATTTTTTCATCTTGGGGTTGCGTCACAAGTTACTTCCAAACATCGAGTGTGATACCATCAATTGCAGTAAATGTATAATTGCCGATGGACATCAAAAATCGAAACCATTAGTTTGTGAATATAAAAAATGTTGTGCAGTTAAAGCAGCTGAAATATTGTATGAATATTCATCTAAAACTGTCGATTTGTTATTCGGTGATGCAACACCCATAAAAAATGAAAATGATTCAACAAACAATTCCAACAATTTATCAACAAAAAAGTTAGTTGTGAGAGACCATCTAATGACTTTCCTTCAGCTAGTATTCTAATTTACTAAACGTTTGAAGAGCGTTCAAAAGTCCTAAAAGTTCCGTTTTCATGCTCTACAGAAACTCTTACCTCTTCCTTTAATGCTACGCGAGGGTGTGAGTGTGGGGTGTGGGTGTGGGTGGGTGGGGTGTGAGTGTGGATGTAGGGTGTTGGTGATGGATAGAAAACATCCATACTCACACCCACACCCACATCCTCATTTATAAACTAGAAAATATCATACTTATAATAACCAAGCAAATTATTTTAGAAATTTATTCATCAACCGTTTTTTGTGGAAATATAGTTTACATTTCTTCATATTATTCTTTAACAATAAACATCTATTATCTTAAAAGTTTTTGCATGAAACTCAGATTATAAGTATTTAAAGCTCTTCTTTCACAGATTATTCCATTATGTAATCCGAAGGACATTGTATAAGATTCATAAGACAATCATATACGAGATTATAAAGTGTGAATATGTTGAAGACAAATAAGATTAAGATTGAAAAAAGAATGCAAAAGCGCTTGTTTATTATATTACGGATTAAGTCACAAAGATGGGTCTCTCCTTTCGTGATACATTCGCACTTATACAAAAAAGTATTACATTGTTCAAGAATTTATCAGATCAGATGGACAAGGAAAGTGCAATTGAAAGATCAAGTAAACTAATTTTACATTGTTACAACACACTTACTTCTCAACAAGAACTATTTGGAGTTCAAGTTGTCTCGTATCTCACGAACTGCTGTGATCATTACACGATATACAAATTTCAAGGTCTTTATTTAATTCAGACTGAGCGATTTTTACAAACTGAATTGAATGAAATACGTACCAAGCAAAACTTGGAGCTTGTATCACATGGTGAGTATTGCACTATTTTGTATCAGCTTTCAAAACCATGAATATTTAATCAAAAGTTAGTAGTGGAATTTCGGCATTATTTCAGCTGAACATCGAGCAGAATCATTCATATGCTATTCTCGTTATCCATATAAAAGAATGAGACAGTAAATATCAATTGAATTTGAAAGTGATGATAAAATTAAAACTAATATTTGTCTTTCATATATAGATGAAGTTGACGATGATATATTTAATAATGACATAATCGACGAAGAAAACCATGATGAAGAACAATTTCGAATTCAGTCATCTGAAAATGACAAAAAATTAATGCTTGTTCATACACGAATTGATTATCAATATCGCTCAGACATTCTCATCAACATATGTTTATATGAATTTGTCAGTACACTATATAAGAAGAAAATGAATGCATCAGACATGAAATATTTATCGAAGCCCATCGCATTAGAAGAAGAAGAAGCTAATCGAAAAGGTCGACCGCCGAATGAGCGTTATCCTTTTCAAAAACAGCATTCACAGGTAGCAACAGATTTAATGATGAGATACAGTGAACCACATGTGCCAGTTCTTTATGGTCCTCAAATTCCTCGACGAGATCGTGATGATACTCGAGAACGATATTGTCGAGCTTTTCTTACTCTTTTTGTGCCTTTGCGGACCTTATCTGCCATTTGCGACGTCAACCAAACGTGGAAAGGTGCATTTAAATCTCGGCAACATCGAATTTCAACTTATTTATGGAAAATAATAGAGAATATACAACTCTTACATGAATGTAAAAAGGATCGAAACGAACATTTACTTCAAATTATTTCTGAAGCTCAAACCGAGAATGATACGATAGATCCTGTACTTTTACTAGCGAATCAAGATGTCAATGACGAATTTGATGATATGGACAACAATGAAGATTTGCTTGAGCTGCTAGGTAAGCTAGATGAATACACTATTGCTTTAGCCGTTGCCGCCAAAAAATCAACAGAAAAAATATATATCGAAGAAACAATCGAAGCAGTACAGAATGTCGGACGATTTACTCGCACAGATAGTAAGTGTCATTTTTATGCAAACAATATAACTCAGAATAATCACAATAATTTGTTTTAGCACACAGAGAACCTATATTGAATGAAGTTATCGATCATACGAATCGACAAATTGTATCATTTGTTTCTGCAACGTCAAATCTTATTCGACTCAATACAAAATGGCAACAACAGCTAAAGGCCGAGAAAGAACGAATAAGACGAAGTCTGATTACAGGTAACTATGATAATTCTGATGATACGTTGGAATATGATTCTGTAATCGATGCAATTGTAACTTTAATAAATCCAAATAATTATAATTCAAACACGTTTGAGAACTACAGTTCTATTCCTCCAGTCATTTCACTCACCACAAGTTATTCTACTCAAAAAAGCATTGCTGATGAATACACATTAAATAGAGAACAACGAGCTGCATTTATGATAATAACAAGTCATCTTGATGGCGATAAACGATGTCGTACAAGTATGTTTACATTACAAGTACTCATAATCCGAAATATTATGTTCATAGGTGGCAATGATGGTCAACTGATAATGTGTATACCTGGATGTGGAGGCACAGGCAATCGCAACTAATTCGTGCTATCACAAAATACTTTTTTGTTACAAAAAGAATTTACATGATGCGAAAGCTTGCATCTACTGGAATTGCTGCTGCTGAAATTGATGGTATGATATTTCACTCATTTCTTGGTGAACAACGTAATTCACGAAAACCACGCACCATCAAACCAGGTGATTCAAAACTTGAGAAAGCATGGAGACTTGTTGAATATCTCATAATAGATGAGATGAGTATGGTTGGTTTAACTTTACTTGCAAAACTCAACCGGATTATTTCTGCTGCCAAACATGTCGATCCTCGAATTCCATTTGGTGGTGTGAATGTTATCATTTTCGGTGACTATTTACAATATCGGCCTGTATATGATGTACCGTTACACACCGATTTTTCATTGTCTTCGAGAAAAAAGTCAAGTAAATTACTTACAGAAAAAGAAATCCAACAACGTGTTGCACGTTCCCTAATTCTTCAAATTAATTGTGTGATGAAACTTACTCAACAGATGCGAACAGAAGATTTGCAATACCTTCAGCTGCTCGAGCGACTTCGTCAAGGGCAATGCACTTACAATGATTACGAATTATTACTGACACGTGACGCTGGACGACCATCGGTCGGATCTCTAAAAGAACATCCGTGGAATAAAGTATACTTTTTTTTGTTTTCAAAATAATTCTTCATCTCTCTCATATTTAGGCTCCTATTCTTGTATTTCGGAATGAAGTACGAACACAACTGAACTACAAAGCAGCGGTTCATAATGGAAAACAACTGAATCATTCACTAATGGTATGTGTTGCTCAAGATACTTGCAAAGGAACAACAATTGAAGACCAAACACTCATTAAAAAATTATTGGAATTACCTGATAGCAAGACAGAGCATCTGGCAGGTTTATTACCATTTATTCCTGGAATGCCTGTTGTTTTAACACAAAACATTGCTATTGAACTGGGCCTTATCAACGGCATGAGTGGAATCTTTCGACAATTAGTCTATGACGCTGATTCTGTCTCAACAGATATGTTGTCAGAAGCATTTCCGAACAATACGGAATACGTACATCGACCTTTATATGCACTAATAAAAATTACTAGATCAAAAATTGAATGTAATCTGGAACAACTCGAACCAAATCTCGTTCCAATACCGTTAATAGAACAAACTTTTCGTGTTGACATTACTGACATTCTTCCAAAAGATAAGCGGCAATGCAAGCGTAAAGCAATTTTGTCAATTAAACGATGTGCAATGCCACTTGTTCCTGCGTATTGTATCACAACACATAAGAGTCAAGGTCAAAC